GCTTATTGGCTATTCATATATCTTTCTTTGAGAAGTTTCTGTTCAAATCTTTTGCCCATTTTCTTACTGACTTGTCATCTTATTCATTTATAAGAATTCTTTTTATATTCTGAATATAAATCCCTCTTGGACATTTATACATAGCAAATACTTTTTACCTTTTCATTTTCTTAGAGGTATCTTTCAAAGAGCAAATTTTGAAATTCATCATTTTTTTCTTTCATCTTTTGCCTACCCAGTGTTGTCACGATTTCTCACTGTGTTTTCTTGGTGTCCTCATTTGTAAAATGAGGGGGTAATATGAGAGTTAAATGATCTAATATGAGTAAAGCACCTAGAGAATCATAGCACCTAGTAAAAACTATATAATGTTAGCTACCTTTATTGTTACTACAACTCCTTTACTCAGAAGTTATCACTGAAGTTTTTGGATGCTGTCTGTACATCCCTGTCTCATCTCCCTCCCCTCTCAAGAAATCTCATTGGCATTTTCTTCAGGGGTCATTTGTTTAAAAATATAAAAAGACCAAAGGCAAGATTTTCTATATGCGTAGGGGATGATTTATATTAGATGCTGTAGTTTTCAAAATTTATTTATTTAGGATGCTGTAGTTTTATAATCTACCAGTTTGCCATTTCCCTTCTCCCAAAAGGTCTGAAGCCCACCACGAGTGTCATGGTTTTCTCCTTCTGTTAAGGCTGAAGATAAGAATATTTCTCACAGCCACCTCTGATCTTGACTTCCACTATACTTTAAACATACCTCACATGTCTTCCAGTGGACTCTGAGAAATGACGATTCAGAGGGTGTTGTCAAGTTTTGCTAAAGAGAACTTAGAGGCTGGGATTCTAATTGTGGTAAATTAACTGATTAAAAATGTCATGGAAATAATTAGCATAAAAGCAATAATAGTTATACCAAAGTGGATTTTCATACTACCATAAACTAGGTCAAGGCAAGATACTGTTTTTTAAATATGTTGCAGTCTGCTGAAGATCCACTGTAGTGTGTTTGAGTCGGTCCCAGAAATAGAAATATTGTGTTTATTCTCTGGTTCTTTGGCCAAATATTTAATCATTCCCTATTATTATATTCCTGTTTATAGAATGAGGGATATAATATCTTCCTAGCCTAGAAAGAAAAATAAAAACAAATTAGCAATGGGATTATTTACATTTAGCAAATGATATGTGGTTCTTATGTGATCAGTATCATTTCTAGCCTATAATCTAGGTTTTTCTAAATCTAATCTCTTTTCTAAAGGTATCCCCTCTATCTGTGCTCTCCTGAGCCCTAGATCAGGTACCAGGCATACCCAAAGTCTAGCATGGTGCCTGGCAATGAATAGGCCTTTGGTAAGTTTGTTGAACCAAACTTTTAATTGTACCCTTTATTTCTTGAGTCTTTATTGTTTCCCTTTCCATGAATTCTCTTTGAACTCAAGAAATCACTATTCTTTAAAAAAAAAAAAAAAAAAAGGCAAACAAAAACTTATCATAGCCATTCTTCTTGTAGGTCCTATCTTTATACTTTTCATATTGTTTCAAGAATCAGTTTTACTTACTTTCTTATTTCCCTTGTATTGCTTAGCCTTTTATGATATAGTTTTTGCTAAAACTGTTTTCAAATATGTCTCACAGTCTCTTCTTAGGCCTCATTATATTAGACTATTTTCACATTTTTTATTTTGTCTAATCCCTCCTTATAGTACCTTCATTGCCTCTCTGTGACATATTCCTGGTCCTTCCCCTCCTATCTAACCCTTCCATTTTTGTTGTTTTGTTTTGTTTTTAGCTTTCTCTTCTCTTTTTTTTACATATATGAATTCCCCAAGATTCTTTGTCTCACTTTTCTTCACCAGAGAGTAAAGGGGGGGAGGGAATTAAAGTATTTCTAGGGCTTCAAATAAGCAGGTGTTTTACTTAATCTAGCCCTGATTTTTAAAATTACTTTTTTGTCTCCTTTTGGATATTACCTGAACTTCTCATAGTAAAATTAATTGTTGAATGGATTTTTTTCCATGCTAGAAGACATGCTATGTTATGTCCATTAGTATATCTGGTACATAGTTGGCAATTACAGTCATTCCTCGGTATCTGTGAGGGATCTCTTCCAGGTGCCCCTGGGGATACCAAAATCCACAGATGCTCAAGCTCAAGTCTCTGAGTGGTTCTGCATCCTCGGATTTAGCTAACTGTGGATTGTGTTGTACTGTCGAATGTATTTATTGAAAACAACAACAAACCGAGTATTAGCGGACCTGTGTGCGGTTCAAACCTGTGTAGTTCAAGGGTCAAAAGGGTCAACTGCAGTACATATTTGTGAAGTCAACAAATGATATCCTACTATTACCTCAAAGTTAACATTGTTCAAAGTTGAATTCATCTGAAATTTTCCTTTGCTTCTACATCTACCCATTATTTAGTGTCCATATCAAATGCTGCCCCTTTTCTGAAACTTTCCTTAATCCTCACAGTCAAAACACACTCTCCCTATCCTATATTTCTTTAGCAAATCATACTTTTATTGTATCTTCATTCTGAATTACATTTTACTTATTTATGTACAGAGTTTATTATGTACGTAAGGTTGAGGTCAGGGATTAACATTCTATCCAAAAGCAAATACATTATTTAAAATAATATAAGATCTTAGAAGAGGAAAAGCGTTGAAAGTGAAGGCGTGGGGACTTCCCTGGTGGTCCAGTGGGTAAGACTATGTGCTCCCAATGCAGGGTGGCCGGGTTCAATCCCTGGTCGGGGTACTAGATCCCACATGCATGCCGCAACTAAGAGTGCACGTGCTGCAACTAAGGAGTCCACAACTAAGAGTCTGCATGTCACAACTAAGACATGGCACAGCCAAAATAAATAAGTAAATAAATATTTAAAAAAGAAAGTGGAGGTGTGTTGTGGTACCTTCTGAATAGTATTGCCCCCTTCCCTATCTTGCTACTTTTCATTTACCCTTCAGTCTTAGTTGAGACATTATTTCATCCAGGAAGCTTTCTGTGAGCCTTAAGCAAGTCTCCACTGTGCTGCTTTTCTTTGTACTCCTCTAGCATCATTCATTTAGCAAATGATTACTGAGTGCCTTTTATGTACTGGCATTGTGCCAGGCAGCGGGAATAAAGTGGTGAACAAAATTGATATCATCTCTTCCATCATGGAGCCTACAGTCTAGTGAGAAAGACAGACATAAAACAAATAATCACCAAATAAGTAATTATCAATTGCTATGAAGAAAAAGTACAGGATTCTTTGTGAGAGTAAACCTATGCGGGGCGGGGGAGGGGGGTGTTGTTCGGAGAAGAATTTTTGGAAAAAGTATATCTAACAAAAACATCAATTATGATGATTGAGATTCAGCCAGACAAAGAATAGGGAAAAGGGCATTCCATGCAGATACAGTATCTTAAAAGGCCCTAAGAAGTAAACAAAAAATTTGATGCCTTTAAGGAACAAAAAGGCAGGGCCATTTTGGCTGTAAATGTAGTATTTACTCATACAGATGAGGAAACTGAGGCTCAGGGAGGTTCAGTGAGTATAGAATATATACTAAGGTCATCAAAGTAATAAATGGGAGAATCTAGATTCAAATTTTGGACTTTATAAATTCTTAGTGTTCTTTCCATTATACCTTGGCATTCCCTAGTGAAAATTTGAACAAAATCTTTCCAAACTCTGATATTTTGTTTCTTTTCCAACATCATAGAATATTCTCTGACCATTTTCTATTTTTTAACAAAGAGGATATTTGTATGTGGACCCATTGCTGTCAACAGAAAAGGGATAATTGACCTGGCACCAGGCAGGGATGCTTCTATTGAATTTGTCGCTTTGAAAACTGATTTTAGCATTTCCTTGACTCTAAGGATTTATGAGCCTCCAGAGTTGTCAGGGTTCTATGGTATCCACTGTCTCTAATAATCTGTGGATTTCTTTGATTTTTGCCAGTGGAGTGTTAAAACTTTCAAAATTCATAGCAAGTGTCTTACACTCTACGTTGTTTCCATTCAACAGTATAACTTTGTAAACTTGACCTACCTCTGGCAAATATTTAAGTTAATGTTTCACAAAATACACAAACTCCTTTTTGCAGTTGATCTCCATACAGCTGATAAAACATCCAAGTGTTAGCTTCCCCCCCCTCCCATTTTGATGTGGATGTGGATGGGAAAGGGGAGGGAAGAAGTTGTTAGGATGCAAAGGCAAAGTTGGAAGAGTCATTTTTTTCCTCCAGAGAATCTTCTCTATTACCCTGTAATGACATACCCACAATCCAGGATGTAACAGCCTGTTTGCTTAGTAGCCTTCAAAAATGTCCAAATCATGGCAAATGTGTTTACCTATGTTCTAGGTAATTGGTGACTTGTTAGCTTAGAGACCAATTTCAGGAATGTTTTATATAAGGAGACTCCCCCAGGGATGCTCCTGCTCCTTTTGTAACCTGATGTAATTGTGGTGTGTTTGTTTATCAAAGACCTTTTGATACATTTTTTTCCTTCTAAGTATTCTTTTCTATAAGAATAATGATTGTAACACAACACAATGAATTTAATTCCTGAGCTAATTTTAAAATTCTTATTGGCATTTTTCATTTGTGATTTTATATCTTGCTCCTCTCAATCTGAGGAAGGAAATAATGTTAAAAGATTACTTTAAGGTACTGAGTTTACTTGTTCTAACACCCTTAAACTTTGGTTTTGTGGGTGTTTTGCTTGAATGAGGACTGTGGAATTAAGCTTTTTATGACTCAAGGTTTGGGGATATTAGATGCCAAATGTATGTTTTTTAAATTATCTAAAACACAGTTTTATTATAGCGAGGGAGAAAAACGTTTAATGGAGAATATTTTTTATCACTAAGGAAACACTTATTATTTTGTTTAAATTTTCAAAGTATACTTATTTTCCTTTACAGTGTTTTCCACCCTACTCCACTCCACCCCTGAGCATTTTTCTGTTTCTTTAAATGTCTTCTCTGTTTTTTGTTTGCAGGCAGCTATCAATGGTGTAATACCCCAAGAAAATGGCATTCTGAGAAGGTATGTTGTAAGGTACTTAGTAGTAAAATGAGAATTTGGCAAAGCAAAAAAGACAGTTGTTAATTTTTTTGGTTTCACTTTTTTGATAGAGCATTTTGTGATGATCTTTGATGTATAAGTTCATTAATACAGTTATTCTTCTTTCAGACATTTTTATTAGTCATATTAATTTCCTAAAGTCTCCAGTGTCTAACTGTATAATGTTATTTCAGATTGGTTGATACCACTTTTAAATGTGATTTTATTTTATTTTTAAGGAAACTTTTCAAGGTCATCTTCTAATTCATAAGATGGAAGGAACTGAATCCTTTAAACTGTTAGTAGTGAGAAAATGAGACATGTCTCAGTAACTCCAGAGCATGGTTATCATCTAACTATACAGGCTTTATCTCCAACCTTACTGATTCTTTTTTTTTTCTCCCTTTGGTTTCTAAGTTAAATTTATGTTAATTTGCAACAATTTGAGTAAGTCCTTAATAATGAAACTTCCCAGAGCACTGAGCTGTTTTACCTGAAGTATACAGTGTTAATATGTGGAATAGTCTTCCTGGTTTTGTGTCATTGCCAGAGGTAAAATTGGAAGATGATGCCAAGAGAACTATAGTAGTTACCAAATAATTCCTTAAATTAAAAATAAATTCATAACTTTTCTTAAAATTGGAGACTGGTTCTAGATTAAAAGAGCACATTATAAAGTCATAGGAGGTAAAACCATTCTCCCTTAGAAGTGTGGTTTTAATTACTTGATATGACCCCCTCCGCCGTCCCCCCCCACCCCCGACCGCAGTTCAAACTTTGGCTTGAATTTTGGTGGCTGGGATTTCTAAGTCACTGAAGCATGATCTGCTAAGTGCAGATGAGGCAAACAGAAACAGCAGACTACGAATGAGGTTGTTTTGGAAAGGAAGAAAAGTGCTGTTGCAAAAACATCAAAAAATTTACCATGAACTGCAAAATGTGCTGTACTGTATAGGAAACTGTGTATATTTAGAAAGGAAGAAAAATTCTGTTTGGTACCTATACCACCCTTAGTGATTAATGGTTTTTAGGTGAAAGCAATGATAAACAGACCTATTCTCCACTTTTTCTTTTTTGAAAACTGTCAGAATTTCATCCAGAGTAAATGTGGCTGATTTCAGAGTCTGTACCAAATTTTTCTGTGTTGGTTTGTTCGGGGTTTTTTTTTTTTTTTTTTTTTTTTTTTTTTTTTAAACATTTATTTTACTTGATATGACCCCCTCCGCCGTCCCCCCCCACCCCCGACCGCAGTTCAAACTTTGGCTTGAATTTTGGTGGCTGGGATTTCTAAGTCACTGAAGCATGATCTGCTAAGTGCAGATGAGGCAAACAGAAACAGCAGACTACGAATGAGGTTGTTTTGGAAAGGAAGAAAAGTGCTGTTGCAAAAACATCAAAAAATTTACCATGAACTGCAAAATGTGCTGTACTGTATAGGAAACTGTGTATATTTAGAAAGGAAGAAAAATTCTGTTTGGTACCTATACCACCCTTAGTGATTAATGGTTTTTAGGTGAAAGCAATGATAAACAGACCTATTCTCCACTTTTTCTTTTTTGAAAACTGTCAGAATTTCATCCAGAGTAAATGTGGCTGATTTCAGAGTCTGTACCAAATTTTTCTGTGTTGGTTTTTTGGGGGTTTTTTTTTTTTTTTTTTTTTTTTTTGGTTCAGAAGCATTCAATTCTATTGAAGCCCTTGTCTAGAAAGCAAACCAGATGATTACAGAAACTTCCTTCAAGATTATTTTTTTCCTTGGTTTAGAAGGTTTTAGACTGCTAAATATGGCTCCAGTTTATTCTTGAGTAAATGTTATTCCACTTTTTGTGCCAAAATTTTTGCTTGCTAAACCGTTGTGGATTCAGCTGCTAGGTTCTGAGTACATAATTGGATATATCTTACAATTAATAGTATTTGCTATGGGTGAACTGTAGAAATTCCCTCATCCCTGGAAACATCCCATCTCTCCTGTCACAGAAGATACTTTCTGGTTAATATATTTTATAGCTAGAGATTCAGTACGGAATTGATTTCTAATAAGGTTACTATGATATTTGGGGTTTAACTTTCATCAGAGTGGATTTTTGTTTGTTTTGTTTGCTTGTTAAAGGAATGAATCATATGTCCACAAAAGAAAGTAATAGTTTTCAACTATTTCCTTCCTAACTTTGTTCTTTAGTTTTGAAATCACTGTGGATTTGACAGAACTGAAAATTACTCTTGTATGTCTACTGACCAGAGGAAAGGAAAGAGGGCTCTTTGTACTTTCTCATAGATTTAACACTGAAAGTGAAAGACACAATGCTAGGAATGGTATATGTAGGCAGTTTAAAAGGATCTTTGTTTTGTGTGTTTGATATTTGTAGTAAGTTGATTATAGTACGTGAAAACAACTAACTCTTAATTTGTCAGTTTATACCTTAGCAGAGAAAAGAGCTACCAAAAAGAGTTATTTTTTTTAAATATGAATTATTTTTGGAGGGAGAAGAACCTAATTTCTGCACTTTATAGCTTTTCTTGAAATCAGATGTTTATGTGAATTCAAAAGTGGGAATTTGTTTTTTTAACGTGCCCATAAGTTCAAGGCAAAGAAACTAACTTTTTTAAATACTTAAGGCACTGTGCTAAGTATTTGATATAGTTTTCTATATTAATGCCCATTAAAACCCATAAGAAATAAATGCTTATATTTCATAGATTAGGAAATTCAAGATTAGAGAATTTATAGATTCACTGAAGGCCACAAATATAGTAGTTGGTGAAGTCTGGATTTTCTCATTTTAAAAACAATGCTCTTTCTTTTACATCACTCTGTCCTCTTCAAGGTCAGTAACCCAGGCATGTCACAACTTTTAAAATTTTTTCCTTTGGGTAAAGAAGTTGAAATTTAATACACGTATGTAACATATTTCTTCCACAGCTTTGTTTTAACAGTTATTATTTTAGTTGTAAGCAAGTAAAGGCATTTTACAGGTAGAGAGAACAAGGCATGAAGTGACTTGGCTCAGATGATGCAGCATTATGTTGATGAGTCAGTAAGCAAGTCTTCTGTCTCATCTTCCAAGGCTTATTTCACTAGACAATACATTGCTAATACAGCATATTTATAAAGTGTAAAAATATGCAGTCATAATCTAAACCATTCATTTAGTCATAAGTAAACATCAAGTATGTATATTTACTACATCTTGTAATATTTTATTTATTCAGGATATTGTCCAGAGCCTTTAAAAAAAATATTTTTGGAGAAAGCTATTGTTAGAAAGGAGCACTAATGAATTACTTGTATTAGTAGAGAGTAGATGCTATGTTTTATAAAAATTTTATGAATTAATAGTGTAATTTTACTCATTGACTAAGTGGGTGGTATTTATCAACTCATTTATTTTATGATCCAGACAGATATACTGTATATTTCTTTGTCTATTGTTTAATTCATTGAGGAAACCTAGCGAAGACAGGTTTGTTTTCAAATCTTGAGCGTTATTATAATAGTTTTCAGAATATATAAGTGCTGAGGTTTTCTGACTTAGAAAATGTCCATTTTGGCCAGTTAGTCTTTATTTATTGTCTTTTCTGACACCCGTTTAAAAAAATCTGATCTTTTTCTAGAGACAAATTTATCTTTAAGACACATTTTTTTTGCACCTAGAGGTTTTACCATGGGATGGACTTTTAAAAATTGAAATAAACAAGTGCAGAGTTTCTGTTTACTTTGCTTTGTTCACTGTATTCCAAGGATCTGTGTGGTTTGTAGAGGAAAGTTGAGCAAGGATAAAAACACTCCTTTAGTTGAAGTTTAGATCTAAAATAGATTTCTCCATAGAGTTTGCCTTACCACCCAGTGTCTTTTTTTCTTTCTTTCTTTTAAATTATTGATTAACTTGAAAAGAATAGTGAGAAGGTCAAATTATAGGATGGTAGTCTTCATAGATGAAAAATCTTAAAAACAGTTTTTTTGAGTTAACAGTTTTGGATGCCTTTGCACTCTTTGGATATCACTGAACATTAGTCACAACTGACAAGATCTTTCATTAACTGGTAATCTCTTTTCCTCTCTCTCTGTCTCTTTTTTTTTCTTTTTTGATTGCTAGTAAAAAAAACTAATGTAAATTCATTATTTTTGTTGATCTCGAAATAGAGTAATTATAGCTAATAAGAAAAATTTCAAGAGATAGCTTTAAAAAAATCCTCTTTCTGGCTGAGAAACATACCAAAGAGTGTGCTCTGATTAGAAATATTAAACTATCTTCTAGAGTTAGGGTTTGGTAAAGGGAAAAAAAGCACCACACTAGCACCTCTTTCACAGAAGAGGGGATTTCATATAGGGAATGAGTTACACAGATATATAGTAGGTTGAAAGAGCAATAATGACTGCAGGAAACAACTGGACCATCAGGCCCACATGGGGGTGGGTTCTGCTGGTCGATGAGGAAGGGAGCCTAGGGCAGGAGGAGACTTAAAGCTGAGAAGGGTGGGCAGAGCCGGGACTGTATGGGGCAGATCCATGACACCCACTCCAGGAAGCCTGCTCTAGGACAGACCTGCCCAGAAGAGGCCCCTGTTGACCATCAAAGGGCACAAGGTTACTCCTGATACTGGAGGAAAAAAGGAAAGAGCTTGGGAGAGGTTGAAGTTAGCAGAACTTTGGAGCTCAGAGGAAGGGCCTTAGGAACTTGGCCCCAGACACATGAGAAAGAAGTCCTGCTCAGCTGATACTGGTATTTCTGACAGGATGCAGAGGCTTGTTTCGAAGTATTGAAAGAAAATAGAAGCTAACTTCGGTGGTTGATGCTGAAACAAAGTGGGTGTCATTGTTATGGTGTTGTTACTGCTAGGGTTACGTTGATAGGATCAGTGTGTAAACTGTAAGAAGAGAATTTTGTCTGTGTCTATGTGTGTACACGTGTGCTGTTACTGCCCTTGTTTCTGTTACTGATCATAAAGCCATGGTTGATATTTACCAGTTTCTTCCACTATTT